GCATTCTTGCCTGGAAGCTGCCATGGACAGAGGAGCCTGGTGGGTTGTAGTCAGTGGGGTTGCAGAGAGTCAGATATGCCTGAGCATAGAGCACAGAGGCTCTGGAATCTGTAATAGCTAAGAAGCTTCTTCAGTTGCAGCACTGCATGCATCCCATTTTGCAAAACATTGCTGTAGTTGGTCTCACTTCTGTCCATTAGAAGAACTTTCTCTTCCCCTCATATTTTCATTTCTTATCCCCCATGTTTTCATTGTCAATATTGCCAGTGATTTCATTAATTTTTATATAAAGCTAAAAATTCAGGCAACTGAGGATGGAAAACTAGAACATGTGTCTGGAAGGTGGCAGTGAAGTCGCTCAGTCGTGTCCAACTCTTTGCCACCCCATGAACTGTAGCCTATCAGGCTCCTCCATCTATGGGATTTTCCAGGCAAGAGTACTGGAGGGTAGTCACCCTGTATCCTTGAGTTGATGTAGACGAAATGGACAAGACACTGTTTCTCCATTTTACTTATCTGTAAAATAGGCTTTATACATCAGTGGAACGTGAGATCACATATGGGTGAGTGCTTTGAAGTCTTCAAAAGAAAGGTGTGTGCGTTAAGCTTGTTATTGCCACCTTGCTTTAATATCCTTCCTGTTAATATGTGTTTTTCTTTTCAACGTAAAACCCAGTTCTCACTAAGCGCTTATCTCTGCAGTTTCTGTCTTCTTCCTGCTTTATTAAACAGTTGCATTCGGACAGTCCTCCAGTCCCTGTCTTGGTTTTACCTTGATCATTCAGAATAGGAACTCCTCTGTGGGCATATCAGAACAGCTCTTGCTGAGACCTGTAAGAAGTCAGAGAGTTGTCTGTTGGGGCAGGAACTTGGAACTAGAAAACCTAGAAGTCCCAGACATCTTATTTCAGTGTGATACTTTGTGATGAATTCATTGCCTAGGCGAGACACACTCGGAGCTCCTTGTATATTTAGGAGGACATGTCAGTCAAATACTGGATAAAGGTTAGGTGTATTCATCTTTATTTGGCCAAGGAATAGGTTGGTTCAAGGACATTTCTAGATTGCAGTGTAAAGTAGATATTGATGGCACATAGTTACTGAGATATATTACTAGATATAGTATGGTTTTAAACCACCTTACTGAATACACTCACAAAGCATCCCCACCTCTGAATATTGTAATAAAACACAGGTAATGCCCTTTCTTTGTTATTCAGAATTTTAAGATTATGGATAATAGTACTCATACTATTATTGAAAAAAGAGTAAGACTTGACAATTAAGTAAACTGCTAAACTGCCTCATCTTTGAGGCATTGAATTGAAGCTGAAGGCTTTGAAGCTGAAGGCTTTGAAAAGGCATACAATTCATTCTACCTGGTAATGTCTTAAAACAAAGAATCTTCTAGGAAATAAACATAGTTTTAAGAGAGATGTCTATCATGGTTAAGGTACATGGGAGACTAGAAAAGAATGATACCAAATTACCATTTGGTACAATAACCAAACCAAAGTTTCAGCTCCTTTGAATGGAGTATGGAATGCAAATTCACATATAAGCTGCCCTTTATTTAATTTTAGGATTTAATATTGATTAACTCATGCCAGAAGCATTATTATTTTCATTTTGCAGGTGAGAAAATTGAGGCTGGTTCAGTAAATATCCAAAGTTGCATATAGAGCAAAATACAGAGCCAAGACCGAAATTTAGGCATTCTGGTTCTAGCACCTCTTAAGTGGACTAAATTGCTCCTCTAGTAAGAACTGTGAGTCTGCTGTTTTAAAATAATTTTGTCATGTCCTACTCGAGAATCTTTTATTTCCTCTCCTGTTTGTTGAATCTTTCTCCTTGTTGCCCTAAAATGAATTGTCTTTATTTCTGAAATAACATCACTGTAATTCTTGAGAACATTTGTCCTTTGGAATTTTTTGTTCCTTTGGTAGAAGTAGCAGTGGCCATTTATAGTCTTAATTAATAGGCACGGATTTCATCACAGACTTTAAGCAGAGACTCCACCTTGTCAGGGAAACCATCAGCATACTTGCCAGAGTAGGTAGTGAGCTCATTAGAACTGTCTTGGGATGTAGGTCAATCAGAGCTTGTGAATGTGCTTCCTGATGGTGGGTTTTGTTTATGTTTAATTTTCCGGATTGACTAGATAATATGGTATATCTTCAGTAGAGTATTTCTTGGGTATATTTAGACCTTTGACCATTCTGATAATTCGTTTTTATCTGTCTGATCAAGCTTTGTAAAGCTAAGCTAACAATTTGGGGATACAGTTTGAGTTTAGGAGTTTATATTCCATTGGATGATAATCAGATATAGTTAGTGCTAGGAAGGTTCTCTGAATGAGGTTCCCAGATGTTCTAAGTCCTAGATTTTGAGTCTTGTCTATTGTCCTTTGTGATCTTAATTCTGTTTCACGTTTTCTGGCTTTGATTTTGGTGGCAAGATTCATCTGTATATTTTCTCCTTAAGAGCTGGCTTTTTTCACTTGAGAATAATTTATCTTACTATTATATTTTTATGGTCAATTCATGATCAAATTATTTATCATTTATTGTATATCTTCTTGTTTTACTTTTGCTACTTAATGAAGAAAAATAAGAGAAAAAAAGATTGAAAACAGCCTCCTTAAAAAGCAAAACTTTATCCTTATTTATTCAACGAAATGTAAGCTCTTAATGATAAGAAGATAACCATGTACTGAGTTAATTGCTCTCAACAAATATTGGCTGAGATTTTGTTACATGTCTTAATACCTTTGAGTTTTGCTTCCTTAAAATGAGAATGTTGTTTTGGATTCTCAGCCATCAAACAGGTCTTGGAATGAAGTCATCCAATACGGAAACTATTAAAGTCCCAAAGCTATTAGAGCACACATTTAACTAAGCTCAGTTCAGTTCAGTTCAGTTCAGTTGCTCAGTCGTGTCTGACTCTTTACGACCCTATGAATCACAGCACGCCAGGCCTGCCTGTTCCACCAACTCCCAGAGTCTACCCAAACTCATGTCCATTGAGTCAGTGATGCCATCCAGCCATCTCATCCTCTGTCGTCCCCTTCTCCCCCTGCCCCCAATCCCTCCCAGCATCAGGGTCTTTTCCAGTGAGTCAAGTCTTCGCATGAGGTGGCCAAAGTATTGGAGTTTCAGCTTCAGCATCAGTCCTTCCAATGAACACCCAGGACTGACTAAGCTACCCCTCTGCTTATAGCCTTACATTTGCTTCCTTTTCTCTCTGAAGAGACCTACCTCCTTGTCATGGTCCACAAAACTCTAGATGATCCTCAAGCTTGTTGATTATTAGCTTTCTCTTACTTATTCCTCTCAAACATCAGTGGCCTCTTTTAGTATCTCAGACTTGCTAGAATGTACTGCCCTTTCCCCTCCCTCCTTCTCCTCCAAGGATAGCTCTTTTCTATCATTTCTTTGATATGCTTCCCTGAGAAAGGCTTTCCTGGCATCCTTGAGGAGCCCTTCCACCCCACTATCACCCCATCCATTTCATTCTTAGCGTTTATCACTCTTTGTCCTCACATATTTATTTATAGTCTAATGTGAAGCTTGTCATTCCTGACTAGACTCTAAACACCAGGTGGACAGAGACTATGTGCCTTGTATTCCCCAGCGTGTGCCCAGTGCCTAGCAGAGTCATACTGTGATAGTTGTCTACAGATTACACAGAGGAGTACCTATGTTGCCTGAGCATTGAGCAGTAGCTCTCAAAACTTATTTTGCTACTTTATTTCAAGTTGTAACTCCTAACATATTTTATCAGTGGAGTAGCAAGTGTTTCACATGGTTATTTAATTAGAGCCATACAGGGTTTTTACAGTTAAAGAATGTATGCTTCATTCTATTCTGAGTTGTCTGCACACCTTTCCAGTATGCTTTAGGATACATTGCCTCTGTTCTTCTTTATTAAACAAACGTTTGTCTTCAGTTAACAGTTACTGTTCTGTCTAGCAGCAGGAGATGCTACAAAAGCCAACAATAAGGTCTCCTTGTTTTATGCCTTTTAAAAAGAAAACACATACATAAACCCACATTCACACACCCTCCTTAAATGAATATATCTGCACAGCACCTGTCATGCTGCTTGGCACCCAAGAGATACTCACTTGGTCAAATGATCCTAAGTCCTTAAAGTTAAAAAAAACTTTGTCTTAAAAGTTTTCTGAGCTTCTGGTATATCTTACTTACTAGATTATATAAGGTGCATGCTCAGTTGCGTCTAACTTTTTGTATCCTGGACAGTAGCCCACCAGGCTTCCTCTGTCCATGGGATTTTTCCAGGCAAGAATACTGGAGTGGGTTGCCATTTTCTCCTCCAGAGGATCTTCCTGACCCAGGGATCGAACCTGCATCTCCTGCATTGGCAGTTGGATTCTTTACCACTGAGCCTCCTCGGAAGCTCTAGGGTAGTCAGCTTCATTTGGTTGATTCAGTGGATTTGAATTTATGATAGAAAAGAACATTTTAATCAGTTTGGTATAATTTATTTTAATTTATATGAAGGCTATATTGAATACTTCAGCACTAGAAATGTATGTATATTTAGAGTGAAAAAATATCTCAGTGTAGTTTAAATAAGCAGAAACAGGAAAGTCTGTTGATGAAATCAGGTGTAAAAATGTATGAATTTCTTTTAAATAATACAGAACTGATGATTATGCAGTCGCAGGAAAATGAACAGCGCAGGTCCTTCAATAATAAAGCACATCAACCAGTTTTAATTGTGGCTTGGCTGGTGTGTGTGCACAGAAGTGTGTCTGTGTGTTCATATCCCTGCTATTGCTAATATAACAAACGGGACTATCTCATGCCTCACCTCAATGTAAGAGGCCAGTTTAGTATATGCCAGTTTCTGGGTGCTGAGAAGACTGTATTTCGTTCTGCCTTATTACATCGCAGGGGATAAAATCCAGGTGCTTGAAGACGGTTCTTTTAAGCTGTGTGTGCTAGATTCGGAGTGACGGTTTTCTTCTCCTGCAGGAGAGCACACAGCTGCTACAAATGCCGTCAGTGCAGTTTCACCGCTGCCGAGACTCAGTCACTACTGGAGCACTTCAACACTGTTCACTGCCAGGAGCAAGACAGCACTACAGCCAACGGCGAAGAGGACGGCCATGCCGTCTCCACCATCAAGGAGGAGCCCAAGATGGACCTCAAGGTCTACAGTCTGCTCAGTCCAGACTCTAAAATGGGAGAGCCAGTTGCTGAGAGTGTGGTGAAGAGGGAGAAGCTCGAAGACAAGGACGGGCTGAAAGAAAAGGCTTGGGCTGAGAGTTCAAGCGATGAGCTTCGCAGCGTGACTTGGAGAGGGGCGGACATCCTACGGGGCAGCCCCTCTTACACCCAAGCCGGCCTGGGGCTCCTGACCCCCGTGGCCGGCCCCCAGGAGCAGGCGAAGACCCTGAGAGACAGCCCCAGCGTCGAGGCGGCGCACCTGGCGCGCCCCATCTACGGCCTGGCTGTGGACACCAAGGGCTTCCTGCAGGGGGCGCCCGCGGGCGGAGAGAAGCCCGGCGCCCTCCCCCAGCAGTATCCCGCGTCTGGAGAGAGCAAGGCCAAGGATGAATCCCAGTCCCTGTTACGGGTAGGAAGGTTTCATTTTTTAAAATAATCCTTTTTATCTTAAAGGGGAAGCTGGGGGAGCCCACATTCTCCAGAGTTAGTAGCATGCCTTTAACCAAGTGCAGCTAAATGATGCGTGTCAATCTGGGGGTTTATAGGTAATCCGGCCGAAGCGGGAGGAAGCAGCTGCCTGGCGTTTGTGTGAACGCGACACACACTTAATCGTGTGGGGGTAGAAGTCACTTGTTTGTCACTGCGTTCAGCTCTGATTGAATGTTTGTTAATCATTACTGGTCGTTTTGCAACGCGGCGAGGGTGCTTTTGGAAAAGGGAGGCTCGGAGTCCCAGCAGGATACACATCTGTTACCTTAAAATGACAAAACGGCTTTGAAGTTTTGAAGTGGCGTGACACAGTTGATGGTTAATAAGGAATGTGGCAGAGATGTAAATCACTAAGAATGCAAAGCCCTTGGTGAGATATGAATACAGAAATGTGGTATTTTTAAAACTCACAGCATAGTTAGATACACATGCTAGTTATGTTATTGCCAAAAGGAGGGGAAAAAATGAGATAGACCTAAGTGTGAATGCTGTGAAAAGTATCCAAAGAAGAGAACCATGAATTATATATTATTGGGCTCTTGTAGGGAGAAAGACATAGTCCCACCTGGAAAAAAAAAAAAACAAAACAAAAGCTAAGATCCTTGAGCACTGTCTTCATGCTGTGTAGACTGTGACTTATCAAGGAATATTTTCGATTTTGAAAATTCGTGAGCTCCCAGTTGAGTGATGCTTGCTTTTTGCCTAAGCCCACCACTTCAGCATCTCACCTTGACTCTGAGGAAGTTTTGAGCTTTCAGGCTGATTTCAAAGCTTTGTTCCTGCGTGGAAGGTAGGATCAGAAACCAGATAACCTTTACAGAAGAACTGGTTAGGAAATACAGTTCAGCCAGCCCAGTGCTTTGACCTGGAAGTTAGAGACCACTGAGTTCTCTTTGGATGAATTCTGGGGAGAAAAATTACTCTTTCCATGATGGCTTGGCTACTCTGCCCCCATTTCCTACAGAGTCTCTAAAGCCTGTCTGTGCTTCTCTGGGTTTTCTCTAGTAGCACTGAGAAATGCCCCTTAGAGGAGCACAGTTAATTGTAAAAGCTGTTACCTTTCCTGTCTGCAGTCATGCCCTGAAGCTAAGGAAGGGCTTGAATGAAGAAGAGGGGATGCCTCCAGCACACTGAAAGACAAAGTATCCTTCCTGCCTCCTGGGAAGGAGCAAGTTGATCCTAAGGAACTGGAAAGAAGAGAAATAGTTCCTGTGCTTTTTAAGTGGGTACTCGATTTAGGGCACTTCTTTCTTTCTTATCATATGCATTTTATCATAGTACATGCTCATCATTTTCTTAGGGAGTCAGGACTCTTCTGATCTCAAGTGGCTATATAACTTAGGAAGGACATGCCCTAGGATTTTTAAATTTTAGGTTGCATCTTGACAGCATGGTGGAATTGATGGCCTTACATATGTATCACTAGAGCACCCATGCTTCCCACCCCCAACTTAAGTGTTTTTTCATCCATGACATCTTCATTTGGTATCAAATTATGTGACTCTTTTAGACTGTTTCTGGAATGTTACCTTTTCTGCCTCTTTTTATATACACTTAAGAATTTGGAGTGAGCAGTAATTTATGAAGCGGTGCAGCCTAAAATCTGAGCAGGATAGTTCTATTCTTTAAGCAGCCTGAGGATGATAATACTTTTCTAAAAAAAAAAAAAATTGTTTTTCTCAATTCCTCTACTTCCTTAATTCCCTGATTTCAACTTTCTGTTGCATCATTTCAACTGTCTTTTCAGTTCCTCTGCATTAGCTGCTGAAGTAGGAAATCTTCATCGAGAGGTTATCTATGTTTTATAATGACTAACAGATTCCTCACTGTAGGGTTTGTGATACTTAAAGGCCATCATCTACTAAATTTTGAGAGCTGACCCCCAGAAATATATACATGCATATATGCATATATATATACACACATATAATATATATATATATTTTAAAGCATCTTGGATCATTCTTCTGTAATTTCAGTAAAATTTGAATCTTTAAAATTTATATTTTCATTGGACTTGACTCATGGTTTTGAAAGTCATCTGTTTTATTGGACGTTTGGGACAGGAAGTGTTAGTTGATTTGATTTATTGTGAAATATTTAGTGTATTAACTGAATTTAAAAGTTTTAATGTGCATATAAATTGATGATTAACCTTTTAAGATACTTGTGAGAATTAAGAAGCATAGCCCATTCTGATTGTGAATTTGACCAGAATTTTACTTTGGTGGTAAAAATTAGTGTCACTAAGTTACCATGGCAAATACATACTTCTCAGTTCTTTTCTCTGCCATTAGTCAGAGGAAACCCAAAAGAATATCGCCATCATATTTATGAAGGCCAAAACAAAGTACTTTAATTCTGTAATTTTAGAGGTCCATAAAAATTTATAAATATACAATTGAAATATGCAAGCACAATTTAAATGTTTTAAATGAAAATACAGTGGTCTTTGTAAATATATATCTACAGAATATTATTCACACTTGAATTTAAATAGTAGAATGGAACTTGAAATTAACTTGCTGTTTGGCATGTTTCAAAATAGTAGAGATTTAAGAAATCGAAAATAGCTTTTATAGTGATTTATTAAATTAAGTAGTACATCTGATATATCATTAATAGAACAAGTATATTTATAAATGCATTTATTCATGTAGTTTCTAATACTAAAATAAAAACTTGACCATCATCTTTGACTATTGTGCAGAGTGGTATCGAGAATTAAATGTGGAAAATATTAATTTAAAATAGTTTAACACTGTGCTGGTAAATAATGGAAACATTTTTTAACACATTATTAACTGGGGGATTTTTGCAGAAACTAACGCCTGTGGCATTAATACATCTCCCGTCAATAATGTGTTAAGAGTAAGCTGACTGGAGATAGGCTTAGGTCACAAAGCATGTAATTATAATGTTGCTTGCAGAGTACTGGTTTTTCTGATACTTGTTTTTAACTGGTTGTAGTTATGAAATTTTGCTATACTCCAAGTGAGGAAGGAAATAAAAGAATCACAGAGAAGAGCTCAAGTTTCAAAATATTCATTAGTTTTCTTCACTTCTTTTTTCTCTTTCCTTTTTTCATAGATCAGTGTTTGGCTTTTAATTTTATACTCAGTGGCAGCTCATATATGTATATTTTCATTTGGTGTATGTCTTTAGATTTCCCTTGTTACTAGTATGAAATTCATCTTGTTATAAAAATGTCTAAATGGTGTATGTGATCTGTGTTTATCACTGTGCTTTGAATATGTCAGGGGAACACATTAACATAAGCTTCATCTTGTAAATTGTTTTATGAAAATAGGGTTTTTCTGTGGATTAACAGTATTTCTATAAATCATTTTTTCCCTTTAAGAGTAGAAACACTAAACCCTGTAGATGCTTTGCTAGAAATAGTCCAAGTTTACAGGTAAACTTTAACTGTTCCTCTTTTAAAACTTCTAGATCTTATAAAACATGAATAAGCTCCTGAAAATGTTTTGAATATGCAACATTGAAGTTTAGCTCCGTGAAGAGGTTAACATATTTAATACTGCCTTGCTGAAAGCAAGATTAATTGGTTTTGTATTCAAATAGAGGTTCCCTTCTCATTTTAAACTAAACAGCTTAGTATAGTCATAACTCAGGGTAGGTGCTCTTTTCTGATCAGCATCTTATAGAAATTTTATTTTCACAAGAGTGTTATTTATTTGGTAGCTTTCTTATGCAGATGTAACTGTATTCATTTTATTATTTCCTGGTTGAGAAATTCTAGGTTTCATTCTTGTAATATTTTAGATTGGACTGTATAACACAGAAAGCTTTGTCTTTTAGCTGATAACCACATTAAAAGGAACCAAACACCTGTCATTAAATTTCACAAAGATTTTACCAAAGTCAAATACATTTAAAAATATATATTTTTTTTTAATAAAATGCAGACATATAAACATTTGGTTGGCAGATCTTTACTTGCTGTAGTAAACTTCTCCATGTCATATCAGAACAGAATGTCACAGCCAGATAACTGATAGTCTCTAATTCTTCCATCAGTGCAACACCCTAGTTATCAGTCCACTTTGCTCTTGCACTGAGGCAAAAAATAAATCTCTTTGTGATTGATTTTGGTTTGCAGTGTGTATTTATTTAGGGAAGTTTGTCCATTTTAGCATGTACATTTTGCACTGCTTGATTTTGACAGAAATGTCTGGCCAGGGCTGTGGAGTTGAGTTTCAAGTTCTGGGTGTTGAGATCCAAGTTGAACCATTGGCTCAAAGAAAGGGCCTCCCAGGATCCCGTTCATCTGTCTCCCAGAGAGGATCACAATGCCAGCCATCCTCCCAGGAGTACTGCGCAACTTAGTTAATTAATGTTTGTCAGGTCATTTGAGATTGTCAGATGCTGGGTTCTAGATAAGTGCAAAGGAGTATGATGACTTGTTCATTTTGTAAATGTGATACCGAGACAGTATAAAGCAGGTGTTATTTCCCCCTTTCTTCAGCGGCGTTAAATTTATAGTTTAAAGATTGTTGATACCGGACAGTCCATTGAGATGCAAAAATGTTCTTTTGGGGACAGTCCATTGGCAGCCAAACAGACGTTTAAACAAGCGACATTGTTGAATGCCTCTACAACCATTGACAGAAGATCGCAGGAACTTCTTTTAAACTAAAGATGATCTTTAGTGAGAAGTCTGATATTTACTGTTTTGCTTCATGTTTAATGAAAATAGAAGCAGCTATCATTTAAGTACTGTTGTCTTAACATAGTGTTTAGGTACGTAAATATTTTCCTGACTTCATTTGAATTTTGTACTTGCATATGTCAAATACCATAGAGAAGGTCTAAACCCGGACAAATGGGGAGTATGTACTTCCCTGATCTTTAGCATTGAAATAATAGTTTATAAGCCATGTTGGTAAAGTTTCTTTTGAG